TCAGATCACCAGGGAGGCTTTAGAGATGAGGGTACCAGGGTGGGTTATAAAAAGCTGATCATGACAGGACAGAGTTAGCTCTCAAACCAGACAACATTTACATGCCTTTTCCCAGGAGAGCCAGAAAGTCTCACAATAAAAATCCCAATGCAAAGATATTAAGTCACAACCATCAGGACATATGTTTCCTTCACACAAACAATCCATGCATCTCCCTGTCACTAGAGAGGGCAGGGCCACCCCAGGAGTTGATGTGCTCTCACATGAACAGCTGTGTGCTAGAAATTTGATCACTACAACTTCCCTGGAAATTTGAGTTCGGGTGCAGAAGTTGGATGTGAGAAGAACAGGATAATTCCCCAGGGTCTGATGAGGACAAACACCCAACTTAACCATTGCTGCCTGTAGGGAAGCAATCAAAGGGCAGAACAGAGACCTCTGTCTCCAGGGGAGCTCTGGGAAAGGTGCATACTCCACTCCTTGCCTGTAGGAGCCTGCAAGATCAAGATGGCCTCCTTGTATTTCCTGTCCATTTATGCCCTCGTGCCTTTTCCTAAACCTTGCATTTCCTATGATGGAGAACTCTTTACCCTAAAACTTCATTCTATACATGCCACTCACACAGAAAAGCTAACAATAGCTTCTGAACAGTGTCCCAATGTCAGCAGTCTCTGACTATCAGGAAATCCAGATAAATATGTGAATATTTCTATTAAGAAAGCTCAGATCTCATGAGATGTTCAATAAGGCTTACGGTTCATGAAAATAAAATAAAAGTTTTAGCACCATTGCCCAACTACTTACAGCCATTCCTGTTTTATCAAATTACATTCCTAAGGAAGTCAAGTTAATAGTTCTGCTAAGGAAAAATAGAATTAAATTAGAAATTAATTTAATTTGGATGTCTCCTGCTAAATACCTTTCATGTCACTGGTAAGTATGGAAGTCTCGCTGCTAAATCTTGTGTTGGGCAGTTTATCTACATGACATAGTTACAACACTCAACTCTTTGGGGCATCTCTGTATTAGTCTTTTGTTGGGGAATTTTTTTCCAACTTAATTTCAAATGTAATCATACATATGTAATCCTATCTTTCTTTTGATTTTCAATGTGAGAAATGCATAGATCAGAAAGAAAAAAGGGCTGCATGGATTGTCAGAGACGACTGTCTCGTTACATGTCCCCAGTCTCTACACTGGGACATGTTGTAAAGCTGTTCTCTCGGATGGTCAAAACTTCCCTTCGTGTTAAGGACAGCCTCTCAGACATCTTTGTATTCTCCTCAGTGACTTGCCACACTTTTCATGGCAAGGCACTCAATAAATATTTGCTGGATTAAGAATGCTGGGCTTGGACTCCAACCTACCATGGACTTAATGACTCAGTGTCCTGTAGCTCAGAGCTGCAGGTGGTTACTCAGCTGGGCGACTTCAGGGAACATTTGAAATCAATTATGGGTGCGGAGGAACCTATTAAAATGTTCTCTTTTGTGAATGTTGGGGTTGAAGGAGAGGAAAGGAAGTTGAAGGGGTGGGAAAGGCTCAGGTGGTTTCAGAGTTAGGCACTGAACCTTAAGGAATCCACACTCAACTAGGACAGAAGATGGCTTATTCAACCACTAAATTCTAATGGCCCAACCTAATGGGTTCCTAACCTCAGGCTACTCCTAGCTTGCCACATAGCTTCAATGTGCCAGACCGTTAACTGGCTGCCTTTGTGAAGGACCCCACCACAGAACAGTCCTCTCTCTGCTGCCACAGGTCAGCTCCAGCAGTGGGAAAAAGACAACTTCAGAAGCTCTACCTTTCAGAAAGCCCAGAGGACGGCCAGGAAGGATCCTCGACACGTGAAGTTTGCATGCCCTGCATTGCCCTCAACCCTCCAGAAAAGCATTCTTGAAACTCATTCTGGATTCTGACTTGTTTCTGAAGAATGCGGGAACTTAGAGTGCAGAAAGAGGGTAATTCTAGCTGTTTTGTTTTCCCCACTTGTTAGAACTCTACAAGTTAGTCACAACTCAAAAAAAAGAAAAAAAAAAAAAAAAGGCTGCTTAAGCTACTCCACACAGGCCTTTCCAAAAAATAAAAATAAAAAAGGACTTATATGAAGTGGACCCCGAGGGATGCCTACCAACATTTTGGGAGAAGGTGATTAAATTACAGCCCAGAGGCTGGGACAGGACAGCCCTCAAGGAAATGAAAGACATTCCCCACTTTGTGGCTTCCGAGTCTCCGGTGCATGAGACAATACTGCCACCTAGTGCCCTGTGTTGGAACTATTCACTAAGACTCCTTAGCTGTGGGTAGGGGCTTCTTCGGCTGTGACTGATGTTGACTAAATTATTTGAGATCTCTGCTGAGGAGAAAATACCCCCAGCATGATAGGTAGAGGGTTAGAAGCTGGTTTTAGTTGAGTAGGTGGAACCTGAGGTTTGAAAGCTGTTAGCAGAGTGAGAGCCAAGTCTTGCAGCATGTCGGCCCACCCTCAGAAGAGCAGGAGAAGAGAAGTGCAGCTGTAGGCGTGTGTATCTCCCAGCAACTTGATTCTACATTGCCACTCTGTGTAACTCAAGTTCCACGATAGCAGGAACAAACAGTGACCAGCTTGAGGGCTCATGCCAGTGAAGAAAGAAAAACGGATTGCGGGAAGATGTGAGTATAACTAGAGGCTCTTCTTACTGAAAATTTAGTGACGTCATCATCCTTAGCTGTTCTATTTGCAGGTGAAATAAGAGTAGCTAAGACCATGAGTAGACATGGATGCTAAATTCCCAGCTGCCCTCTTGCTAAGCCCAAACAGTGGAGGCCTTGTTATCAATTCCTGCCTCCCACAGGCTTTTACCCTACATCTTCCTGTGATAATTTGGATCATGCACAAGTCTGAAGAAAGACAGAAGATGTAATAAGGGGAAGACAAGCCTGGTTGCCCTCTACCCTCCATCTTTTAGAAGCACGCCAAAAGGGGAAGTCCCAGAACACCACAGGAACACTTAGATATGAAGAAAAAGAAACTTTAGAAGCTAAATTACTGAAGATTTCCTGCCCTAGAGAGGCTAAGAGGGTTCCAGTGGGCTCTAGAAGAACCTGAATGTGCTGTGGCAGCCTGGAGACTGTTGCTGATGATAGACAGGCAAGGCTGGGAGGCACAGAGGTGAGGTGAAGAATGCTGGAACTGTAGTCCAATCCTGACATCACTCCTTGAAGAGTGTGAGACAGAACTGCAGAGATAAATGCAGAGGTCATTTACCTTCCTGTTTTCCAGGACCGGACTTTAATAACCCCAAGCAATAGTCCCTTAAAGCCTCCCACATATATTCCTTTTGAATTCTCTCACAGCCAGAGAGCCGATCCCAGGTCTCTATGTTTCTGCTGCAGGAGGAAGCATAGTCAGAACCGTGGGCTTCAATCTAGACTGCAACCACGCAGTCTCCCTGGCAGATGGGCACTAGGAAGCCAGACTAGGCACCAAGATGTCATCTGGGGGAAACTGTGAAGCTGCCAGCTCAGATCAGATAATCATCTCATTATTTCATCCAGTTTGGCCCTAGAGTGAGGATTTCCTGCTATCTGCCCCCACCTAGCTTGCAGCCTGGCCCCTTCTCTCACCCCCTCTCCCACCCAAAGCTAAAATAAAACAAAGCCACATGACTGGAGAGTGCTCAGTGTCTGGGAATCCCAGATTCCAAATAAGAAATAACAGCCAAAGAGGGGGAGACAGAGTGTCCACAAGGATGTTCCAGCGACACCCCACTGAAAGAGGCTCCTTCCCTCCAGATTTTTTTTTTTTTGCCTAGTCTGCAACTCATTTGGAGGCACTGGGCAACCTGGGTGGATTTTGTTTGTTTGTTTGTTTGTTTCTGTTCTGTTTGAGGAGCTATCAAGTGATTCAGGAATTCTGGCATTTTCCTCCTAGTCTGTGTCTGACATGACCCTCAGTGCCTCAGTCTCTCCATCAACAGAAGGGAACAGACAAACACGAAAGGCGTTTGACTAATCCAGATTGCTGCCGATATATTTTCTGATAAGCATTTGATTGTTTTTTAGATAGGGTATGAATTAGCTGGTCTCATTGTGACATTCTCATGCATACAAATCATTATACTTTATGCTCATTGTTCCCACTCTCCCTTGGTAAGGTGTCTAAAAGAATAATGAGACACCAGAGGATAAAATATACAGTCAAATCCCTCCTTCACTCCTTCACTCCTTGCCAGAAATCAACCTCTCCAGATAAGAAAAGGCGGGGGAGGCAACAGTCTCTAAACCCAGCTCTTTTCTTTGTCCTTCTAGGTGTTTCTCTGACAATCAAAATCAGCACAGGTAAAAAGCTCAAGCCAGTGCCTCTGGTTAACATTATAAAGTTGGCCATGTCAAATAAGCTTTCATAGTTGGGTCTTCACCACAACCATCAGAGTCAGAAGTCAGGACCCTGGCCTCTAAATGCCCCCCATCTTTTCCAGTACATCGGTTGGGGTGAAGCAATGGGGACCCCAAGACATGGAACAGGTGCTATCTTTCTTCCTAGTTCCAGGGTGGCAGCCTTGTTCCCCTGCTGTCTGTACCCAGCTGGGCATTCCTCACTGCTATCATCCTTGGACTGTCATCTGCTTCCAGAGGTGCCTGGGTTTCCCATGCTAGACTATGAGAAGCAGGGTGTGACTCCCCTTCCTCCCTGACAAAGAGTCCAAATCCCTTCCCTTTAGAAAGGGAAAAGAGCTATGCTAAGGTCTCCTAAGTGCAAGCACGATGTATAGAGCTCCAAGAGATCGATAGCGGTAATGATGTCGTGGGTAGGAGTCATCTTTCCTTTGATGGTGCCTGCGGAACTTCTGCTCTGATAAATAAACCCCACACCCACACATGCCCTCTGGCCAAGCCTTCCTAGCTTTTCTGCTTTATCCTTTCCCCCCTTTTGTTCTTTATGTCTACCCACGGCTGAAATGGAGCCGGCCACACACCCCCGGGACCTGAGAAAGCCCAGGAGTAGAGTGGGACATTACCTGCAATGATGGCTGGGTTGTTCTGTCCTCCCTCTGGTCTCACCCAGGCTTCCACAGTGAACGCCTCCCGGGGAATCTCAGCCAGCACTTCTGGACGCAGCAGCAGCCGCTCCCTCTTCCCAGAGAAGTACAGTACAGGCAATCCTCCTTGGGGGTTAAAGGTCTCTACTCCCCAGGCAGAGCCCCCTCCACCATTTTGCATGGTGCCCTCCAATGGACTGTCACTATCTCCATGCTTAAGGGGATCCTTAGGCCAGAGCTGGAAATCTAGAGGGGAATTCTGGGGGTCTCTGGTCATATCTTCTGCCTGCCTCTTCAGCACTTGGCGAGGAAGCCTAGACCTGACCTGGTGCTTCCTCCGGGTCTCCTCTGTGGGTCTTTTCTGGTATGCAAAGGTGGTAATGGTTGAGGCAGTAGCTTCCGAGCTTCCCCGAGTCACAGGCTCACCTAGAGCCTCCTTGGATCCTCCGTTGCCAAGATAAGTGTCATCATCTCTCAGCAGCTCTGATTGCCCAATAGGACCATCCCCTACCCACAGGGCAGCTGGCTGCTCAGACTCCCTCCTCGCTTCTGCTGGGTTCTCAGTCAGGTCTCGGGGATCCACACTCCGAGCCTGTCTCTCCATGCCTGGTTGACTCCATCCTGTGTATGAGCTTTGCTTCTTCCCGACAGCGTAGGGTCTTAGGTAGCTTTCTGGTCGGCTTGGGTAGACCCCAAAGAGATGATGCTGAGGAGCAGTTCTGGGTCTTCGAATCTTGGTTCCCAGCCAACAGTGTTCCCCTTCCAACAGCACCTGGTTCAGTTGTCCCCTATGGGCCAGGAATTTCTTGCGTGTCCTGCCCAGCTCCGAGCTGGTGGTACTGAATGCCCACCCAGCCAAAACCACCAGGCTGACTCTCAGGGCCTTCCAACACATCATATCTCCCTCAGCTGGATCTCAGAAGCAGAGGTCAGCTTCTGGGTGCCACACAAGAATGAAGGGGAAAAGAGGTAAAAGACAACCAGCAGTGGATGTGTGAAGTCACCAGGGAAACTGATTCACAAGCCAAACTTTTCCAAGTAACCCCAAAAATACGTCTCACCTGGATACCTGTCCTAGGAATTCAGTCAGCCAGCTCTCTGTGGCTTCTGTCCCTCCTGCTACTAGACTTCTCTTGCCTTCTCCCTTGACCTCTCTTCTTGCTTGATGTGAGTCCTTAAGAATAAAGTTAACTGTTCTGACTTTGTGCTTCTTCCCAGAGACCTCAGGCTTCCTTTTCTTCCTTCAGGCACTCCTCTCTTCACTGATACTGGAATAGTATGTATGACATAAGCCAAATTCTCTCAAGAAACACAGCACCCTAACTAGTCATTCAAAATAATCTTTTTTTTTTCTCTAATGTTCTCTGCTGTCTCTTCTTTCTTCCTTAGGAGTTAGCTTCTCCTTCAGAGCCCATCATCTAAAATATGTTCAACTTAAAGCAAATTGCTAGGAAAAAATAAAACTTTTAAACTGAGACACAATTTGATGCTTATTACCTAAAAATGCAAAAATAATCTGGGGGCATAAAAAAAAACAACCCGTGCTGGGTACTTAACTCCTCAGATGTCCTCAGCCAGGTGTGTCCATGCAGCTTTCAGTCTGCCTGGGCAGGTGAACACTCCCTCAGCGTGGTGCCCAGGGTTGTTGACTATTGAAGAGAGTTTTTTATCCGGGTCCAACTTGTTGGTATGCTGCAAGTCTTTGTAAAGTTCTCTGGCGATCAGTCTGCTGTTGTCTTGACTAAATGAGGCTGAGAGCTCTTGATTTCACCTTCTGGGATTCTGGTGAGTCCCTGGAAAGACAGATAAAAAGAGCAACACAAATCACATATAGGTCAAGGGACCTGTTCCCTCCCAGTCTTTCCTGCTCCCCTTCTCTCCCTGTCTCTGCCTGTAATTGTCTTACTGGCTGTTTTTTTTTTTTCATCTAAAGACAATGATGATGTCAAAGCTAGTAAGTTTGGTGCATCACTCCACCTACTCCCTGTCCCCTCCTTCCTCCTGAGCCCCCACCCCCACCCCACCTCTCAGAGACACAGGGGACAGATGCTCCTCTTGGTTTCCCCAGTAAACATCTAGGGCTTTCTCTTTCAGCAGCGGCAGCCTACACAATCAATAGAAAACAATCAATACTGTTTTGGAGTGTGCCTTTCTGTGTGTAGCCTCTCTCTCTCTCTCTCTCTCTCTGTCTCTCTCTCTCTCTCTCTCTCTCACACACACACACACACACACACACACACACACATGCACGCACACATTTTGAATGGACCTGGTCAATAAGCATACACTGGTCTTTTGGGAACCATTCACATCTCTTTCTTTTGATTTATAACAAGCCTCCCATATTTTTTTCTTATTTTACTCTAGCATTTGAGATTTAAAAGGACAATACCAAAATTCACTTCCTATTGGACACTGGAGGGAAGGAGAAATCAATTCCCCCTGTCACCGGCAGCATTAAATGGAAGTGTCGTGTTCTCCTAACATATAGACAGTCTTCTTTCTCTCAGAAGTTTCTCAGCCTGAAGTTAGTAAAAGTCACCATATGCTGAGTGAACAAATAAACAAATGAGGTGCTCAAAATAAGCAATTTACACAAATGAACGGCTAACCTGAGGCAGCTATCTTTTAATTGATTTGAGATGAATGGGCGAGAGTGGAGGAAGTGAATAGACCCTGAGTTTCATCTCTGCATTGTTTACCTAGGTGTTAGGTGCCAGCTTTCTCATAAAGGTTTCCATCCCTCTCAGGAGCATGCATGTACATAGAACACACAGGCAGACACATGAACACATGCAGAGAACAGTTCTGAAATCCAGGCACAGGCATGCTTGCCCATGGGTAGTATAAAATAGGTACAAATATCCATTGAATCCTTCTTTCAAGCAATAGGAAAAAAATCACTTACAATTTTAAAATCACTGCTTCTGTTGCTCATATCTAAAGCACACAGCCCACATGCTCAGGAGAAAGACCATGGTGCTTCCTTCACTCTGGCTCTCCTTGGCTTTCTGAACCACCTTATTCCAGCTGAGCAATACAGATACTGTGTGCGGTGCGCCCCATCCCACGTGCACCCTGCTTCCCCATGTAGCAGGGAGTAGAGCCTCAAAGCCAGTCCCCAAAGAAGCTCTCAGTTCAGGCACGTGGATGGTGCTTAGCAGATATTCCTCACTCCTCGACTGTCCCTTACTCTTTTATCACTTCCGGGGCTCCCTTCACTTTTTGGACTCAGTTTTCCCCGCTTAAAGCAGATCAAGAATAGAAATTGAGACTGGGGGCAGGGACAGAGAAAGCCAGAAAAGCAGAGGAGAGGAGGGAGGGAGGGAGCCAAGGAGGAAAGAGAGAGAGAGACAGAGAGAGAGACAGAGAGAGAGACAGAGAGAGAGAGAGAGAGAGAGAGAGAGAGAGAGAGAGAGTCAGGAAGAGGTGGCTTAGCTTAAGAGAAAAGAAGATAATCAGGTTAGAAAATAAGTCAACCCCCCCTTGCTCCCTTGCCACCCCAAGGACCCTCAGAAAAACATCTCCTACCATTCATTTCAGGAAGGGGGGATAGCACATCAGGGGAGGGTTCCGCCTGCTTGTCTCCCCCTTTGAGTGTGTGGGTGATCTTGCATCCCCTATAGGTCTCTCCTGGCTCTCAGCTGCTAGTAATCCATTCATAAGGTTTCAAGAGGCAACACAAAACTCAGGCTTCCAGTTTAGTTTCTCTCTCTCCCCTTCATTCCTTTGCTCACCACTCTCCTTCAGCTCTTGGCAGTCCAAAGTTTAAAAAAAAATGTTGAACCATTTCTGTGTTTTCCTCCTGTTGTAACTTTGGCTGTGACATCATAACCCTGCCCACCAACACCCCACCTCTCTCCCTTTCCATCCCCCCTCATCAGCCCCATGCCCCCAAACACTCCCCCCACCCACAAAGAAGAAGGTCTCCTGTCAGTTCCAATGTGTGAAAACACAAAGCTCCTGGAAGGTACCCCCTCCTTCCCCTCGGTGCCCCTCCTGCCTCCCCCTCCCTGCCTTACCCACCGCTCAGCCCGGCTCTCCAGGCTTCTAACAATGATCCCATCTGTTTGACATGTGCGGAAAGGTGGGCTGGATTCAGATAATCTGTCAAGTGAATCGGATCAAAAACACAGCAACCCCCTCCTCAATTCCATCACACACACTCGCACAGACACTCACACCCCAAGCCGGAGCAAAAGTGGGAGAGAAAGTCAGACTGACACAGCACCCACCCTTGATGCCAGGGAGACAGACACCAAACATGCCAAGGGAAAGCCCAAATTTATACATATATAAATTCTGTTGCTTATTTGTTTATGAGAGACACCCACACCCCAAGTCTTCAGCCCCTCTCCCTCAAACCCTGCCACTCCGCAAAGTGCACAGATTTGAAAGCTGGTAGAATCTGTTTTGAAATCTCCAACGAGAGGGTTTTTTCCCCCTTTTTTTTACTCCAAAGCACTATCTGTGGCGATCAGACTCAAGCGGGGTTGCCAGCAAATGCAGGAGGCCCCTTCTAGGGTACAGGCTTTCAAACCAGCGAAGCTAGAGGGAATGAATTTAAGGACACACAGCAGGAGCTGGCTGAATTCATTTTATTTTGACGGGGTAGTTGGGGGAGGAATATCATTTCTGAAATGCCCAAGGAATGAAGGGAGAGGATATGGATTTCTTAAACAGTTTTTGCAAGAGGAGCGGTGTCTTGGTCTGCAGGTAAATCTAGAAGGCAAGGAATTGGAGCTGTATAAAAAAGGACTAGGACAGAGAGGGAGAGCAGAGAAAGAGGCAGAAAGGAAAGGGAGAGGAGCAAGGAGAAGGGATGGGGACAAGGAGAGAGGGTGAAAAGGCAGCGGGGGGGGGCAGAGAACAGAGGGGAAGGAGGGAGAGAGGAAAGCAAGGGGGAAGGGGAAGGGAAAAGGTGAGGAGGAGGGGGGACAGAGGGGAAAGGGGTGAAATGGAAGAGGGAGGGCAGGAGGCTTGGTAAAAGAGTCATCTGGGAGGACCAGGGACTGAGAGAGAGAAGTGGCGAACCCATGAAAACAGGGAAGGAGGAAAGTGTGGGGGGGGGCGTACATGAAATATAGAGACCAGAAAGACAGTTAGATCGTGCTGGATGAACACAGCAGGATCACAGGGACAGGTGAAGAAAGCCAATGAAAAGTGGGGCCGAGGAAACAAAGGACACACAGCAGGGAGACTGTCTCAGGATCAGGGCTCCTTTTTAAGAACCAGAGTCCAACGTGGTCTCCTTAAGGAAGCCCCCTCCCCCCCACTCCTGCTGACTGCTTCCCCTCCTTTGCCACCCACTGCAACTTCCTTTGCCTTTGTGGTCCTGGCACGCCATCCCCCTGGAAAACTCATGAGTGAAATTCTAACACCCACCCCCATCCAAAAACAAACAAACAAACAAACAAAACACCTTTAAAAATCCCTCTCTTTGTTCTATCCACTAAGGGTTCTTGGTCCTCCTGTCTAGACTGGGCTGTGTGTGGCCACCTACACTTCACTTTGACACAAATTGTTTCCTTCAGATGGTAGGGGAGATTTGCCTGGGTTCACTGCCACAGTGGGGCTGGTCTGTTCCCATCAGCAGTGTCATCATTAGGAGACTCTGAGAAGACAGAAGGGCCTGTCTATGCTGGCATCCAGAGCATTAACAGAGAAAGAGGGAGGGAGGAGGGAGAGAAAAAAAGAGAGGGAGACCCTTAACATGGTCTCTTTGACTTCCTAATTCCAAAATCCGAGGGAAAGGCTCGGCTGGGAGCCGGCCAAGGAGTGTAGTAATAAAAGCCTCCTAGAGCACAACCAAATGCAGCAGCATCTATATATAGGAGCTGGGTCTGTTTTAGCTACTTGCAGTCTAAAATGACACCCGGAAACAAACATTTCAGCAATATGTTTATTGGAATCCTATTCAGCTGGTCCTGGAAAGAGTGAGCATCTCTGAAAGACTTCACTAGAAGGTTCAAAATTGTTGCTTTCTGCTTCTCTGGCTTTGGTGCTCATAGCTGCAAGTCAGTGACTCTACCCTTCACAGGGCAGCTTGACCTTCCGACAGGGTGACCGCTAGGAGCCCCCCTTTTCACGTATGAGGCAAAGGCACACGCTTAGTAGCAGGGTCATGTGTAGCACCTAGCACCCTACCCACCTCTGTTGTTTTTCCCTAGTCTGTGCCCCTGTCTGCCTGTCTTACTGGTCTACCGGGCATACATTATGAGACCAAAAGGGAGAATCAAGGACAGGCTTCTCCCCACCATGTTTCACATAGGGTAAATGCACCTAGGCAATGTCTATTGGTCATACATGGTCAGTAGTTCAGCACCATACAGCACTCAGAAGGGAATGTAAATCTGGATCTCACCCCCTCCCTGTACATTCTGAGTCAAAATAAACCCCATCTTCTCATAAAATTGTGTGGTGCCCATATGCTAAATAATCCTATCTCCCTCCACAATACAATGACTTACAAAGTATCAGGGTGTCATTGATTTTGTTGTGAAAATTGCCTTCATGCAGATAGATCAAGGAACTTCACACATAGGATATGCTTCCCAGCATCCTCAGGAAGCAGTATGACAGAGGTCTACATCCTACAGTAACAGTTCCTACTAGGCAGGTCTTATTGTTAGAATTTGAGTCTTAGAACCAGCTTCTAGAGCCTGCTAGGTGATGGAGACTCCAGAAGTAATGCTGGGTCCTTCTCAGCTCACCAGATAAAGGCTTTACATGGTTCATGCTGCCACTGGGCCTGTCTTTTCATCTTCAACAGGCTTTTCTTTCCACTTAACC